CACACACACACACACACACACACACACACACACACACACACACACACACACAGGAGGAAAAGGCAACATATTTGTTTGCTATAGCGGTAAAGCTGTTTCAATTTTGGATCTGCTCGTTTTAGTGTGCTTCAACTTGTTTGCTATAATAGAGGTAAAGCTATTTCACTTTTGAATCTGCTCATATGGGTGGAAAAAGGGTTATTGTGGTGAGAATTTACAACACACACACACACACACACACACACACACACACACACACACACACACACACACACACACACATGATTTGTGGATGGAATGGGAGAGAAAATTCGTTTTTTTTTCTATAAACACACACACACACACACACACACACACACACACACACACACATGCACACACACACACACACACAGAGGACATAAAATGCGTATGCATGGCTGTGGCACAAGATTCGAGCTTGCAACAGATAGTCACGTATGTCATAAGTAATTTGAAGCTGGGAAACTCGGTAAACGTAGTTATGTACACGTGTATGGTTAGTGTTTGCCCTGTTCTCAATGCAAGTTATCCTGCGGTAAGAAAACGAAGTCCATGATCTGTATTTCACACTACATTCACGGGAACTTCATGCCCTGCTAACTCGGAATCCAATACAGCCCTGATTCCCCTGGTAACTGCGCCTGCTACTGGAAATGACAGGTCGAGGAGCTGCCTCCTCTGATGGATGGGATGGGTAGATTGGCTCAGAGGAGCAAAACCTGCAAGCGTGAGAGGGCAGAAGAGAAGAAATAGTGAGGGATAGGGGAAGAGAGAGGGCAGAGGGAAAGAAGTGAGCCACAGAGACCAAAAGGTACAGATAGCAAGAGGCAGGAGGGTACAGGGAGAGAAGAGGGCGAGAAAACGAGAAGCTGAGAGAGGAATAGAAGAAAAGAGAGGACAGCGGGATATTGAGAAGGGGGCAAGGAGGAGGGAGGAGGGAGGGGGTGGGGAGGGGAGGGAGAGAAAGTGAGTTGATCTCACCGTCGAGTGGGCAGATTCCGACAGATCTCTCTGCTGCAGCCAAATGCGCCCTTGTGGAGCCAGCTGTACGTGTCGATTGCCGCTCTCTTGCCGCCATAGTCAGCCACGTGGGCATTTTTGGTGATGGACTTGAAAATTGGGAGCAACCCAGAAATCCCCATGATGATTGATTTTTTTCGTGGGTCCTTGATATATATGCATGTAAATATGAAGATAAATATGAAATATAATTCAAATATTATAAGATAATAATGGTCACATTAGCTTACAGGTTGCACTACAGACAAACGGTTATCTTTTCATAAGCAACTGATTAAAAGGACTCGTGTTCCATCCAACCCCTATGAGGAGAGAGTAGAGAGAGGTAGGTACTCAAGACATGAATGCTTCCCTCTCTCTCTCTCTCTCTCTCTCTCTCTCTCTCTCTCTCTCTCTCTCTCTCTCTCTCTCTCTCTCTCTCTCTCTCTCTCTCTCTTTTCAATTATTAATAGACTTTATGATAGATCCATGCAGGGACCAGCTTCCCGGGGCCTGCAGGGTGCTAGGCACCTGAACAGCGGAGGTTCCAACACGAAAACAAAGGAAGGGAAGGGAGAACTAAGAGTTAACAAATGGAGATATTTGGAAAAAAGAAAAGAAAATTATTAATTAATTAGACTATATGATAGATAGATGCAGAGACGTAATTCCAGATGCCTGCAGGGTGCTAAACACATGAACGGCGGAGTTTAACCCGAAGAAGAAAAAGAAAAAAAAAGTCACGAGTATCATAAAATCGACCAGTTTGGACAAGGGGGGGTGGGGGGTGGGGGAGGGAACTAAGAGTTAGCAAATGAAAGTACTTAGGGGAGAGGGGGGGGAAAAAAAAATACAGAATCCTATACACATACAGCTGCATCTCTGGAGGAATCCAAACAACGGGGGTTCTTCCCAGAGGGGAAGAGGAGGAGAGGGGTCGGAGGGAGGTGAGAGAAGAGGTTGTGTAAATGACGGGGTTGGTTGGAGACAGACCAGTGTCAGTGAACGGGCCCTCTTAGTTTGCACAGTACCATATATTACCCACACAGAGCCACATAGTACCACATAGAGCCACGCAGTACCACATAGTCCCACAAAGTACCACACAGTACCACACAGTACCACACAGTATCACATAGTGCCACGAAGTACCACGTAGCACCACATAGTGCCACAAAGTACCACACAGTACCACATAGTATTCACATGGTACCAGGAGTGCTTCGCACACGATAGCTTACGCTTCGATGCAGGGCACTCAGTTCAACAAGTCTATAAAATCTAAGTCCCAGCAGGCCTTTGCCATATAGTTCCACATAGTTCCACATAGTAACACACATAGTTCCACATAGTACCACATAGTACCACATACTAGAAGATAGTACCAATTACTATGTCTGACAGATGTACAGCTACAGATCACATGCGGGCGGGCATGCACTAGAACTGCATTTTTTTCTGGAACTGCGCTGGGAGTGATGGCCAGGTGCGTAGGAAGGGGAAAGGCACGGCAGAGGAGGGAGAGAGGAGGGAGAGAGGAGGGGGAGAGGAGGCGGAGAGGAGGGTGAGAAGAGGGGGAGAGGAGGGGGAGAGGAGGAGAAGAGTGATTAAAAAAAAAAAAAGAGTGGATTGTTGCCGTCGGAGTAAACAGTTCAGCCAGTCTGCTTTCCACCAAAGACAACTGAGTTGCTTTCCCGCTAAAAATCAATCAATCGACTTGCTTTCCCGCCAAAAGTTAAATAGATCCTAATCGACTTGCTTTCCCGCCAAAAGTTATATAGATCCTAATCGACTTGCTTTCCCGCCAAAAGTTAAATAGATCCTAATCGACTTGCTTTCCCGCCAAAAGTTAAATAGATACTAATCGACTTGCTTTCCCGCCAAAAGTTAAATAGATACTACTAGTACACTTAACTTGGATGTAAGATGATGTTGAAAACAAAAATAAAATAAAGTTACTGGGAGGTAACAGCAGTGAGTACGCATTCCTTCTCTGATGATCGTGCTGGTGTCGTCACTGTTCACGCCATCGCCCTCCTGCTCCTCACGGCAACAAGCCGACTCCAAAGTCCAAGAAGCGCTCGTCAGCTCATCAAATCAAAGCAACAAGACCGAATAAACCGCACGGCCATTATCGCTCTATCTAGACTGAAAGCTCCCCAAACTACAGCTATAATTACGTGCGTTCTATTCGGGGGAAGACGGTAGCAATTAGTCCCCCTCTCCCCATTCCTCCTCTGTTTTTTCTCCACCTGCTGATCATCATCTTCGTACCCACCCAACCCTCCTCTCTCTCTCTCTCTCTCTCTCTCTCTCTCTCTCTCTCTCTCTCTCTCTCTCTCTCT